GTGTGTGTGTGTGTGTTTACCTGTTTGAGCACGAGGGACTTGGCCCTCTCCTTGGACGTTCCTGTCTCCCACACACAGATGGCGGTGCTGGTGCCACCGGTGATGACCAGCTTTGGGTTTGGACAGATTGCACAGAGGATCTGACCCCACTCTGACAGACACTCGTACACAACCAGCGCCTGAAACGACACCGGCAGTTAACATCGAACGCTGGCCGACAGGTGCAGAGGTGGGGAAACGGAGACTGGTGGTTTCTTAAAATCTTTTAATCATCTGTATCTCAACAAACTCCACTTTAAACCTGATTCTCATTTTATTCTTCAGGAGGTTTTACTGAAGGAGTGCATGAGAGAAATGTGTAGTGTTACTGAAGCACCAGCAGGGGGAAACAAAGTCTTTAATATCATTTCACTTCGATAACTTCAGCTTCAGTAACGTGTTGAAAAGTAACTGGGTCAGGACGTCAGTGACAGAAATCAAATCTGACTGTGTGTGAATACATAACATGAGGTCATGACACATTATGTTTCACCTCCACACGCAGCAGAATGAAACAGGAAGAAAGAAGTCTGACGAGAGGAGCTGGAAGTTTAAATGACCTTGTCAGACTCGTAGTTGGCCAGACGGCAGCTGAGGTCGGCATAGCCCCAGGCGAAGGTCTTGCTCCAGGTGGGCGGAACCAGGACTTTGTTTTGCTCCACAGCGAGGATGCCTTTGTCAGTGCAGACGATCTGTCCCACGGGCTCCTTCAGCTCTGGACAAAGGGAAAACAAAGAATGAGTAATAACCAGTGATAATACGGGTTTATACGAACATGGCTGATAAGAACCAATCAGCTGGTGACGTTTCCCGTCTATACCTCAACATAGCAAAACGCTGCAGTAGAGGACAATGAGGTAAAGAGTGTCGGCCTGTCTGTGGTTCTGTGTGTGTGTTGTAAACAAACGTACCTTTGACAGGCGCTAGAGAAGGTCTGAGATTATCCAGATGGTGGAAGAAGATCTTGTCACTATTGGAGCTTGGTGGAATGCTCGCTATGTCGCCGTTGGCTTTACTGCGTACTCGTTTAGGAGGGTGGGGCTTCTTAAACAGCTGAAACACACACACGTCAACATGCGTGAGTGATTGAAGAGTCGGGTTTGAAGACATCTACTAAAAGGAAAGGGTTAGAAATGTGTCCATCGTTATCCGAAGTCTATGATCCAACCTGTTTGGGGATTTGCCCAAAGTTGTTGATGAAGCCGATGGTGGCCGTCTCTTTGAGCGGGTCGTTGATGTTGTAGATGTCCACCTGACCCTCGTAGAACAGGTGGTGGAAGACGTTGACCGCCTCCACAGCCGGAGGACCCTGCTGCTTGTAGCCAAAAATCAGGTCGATCCATTCGTGGAGGTGGGCCGATACGTAGTCGCACTCCAGCGCCTGAAGGAGGACGAGATGGAGGTTAACCTGTTACTCACTGACACCAAGACCTAAGCTGTGGGTTCGTGTCCTACCTCTCTGTGGACTCTGATGAACTCTCGGGGGTCACCCTTCGCCCAAGGTGGCAGAATGACGTCGCCCAGTTTGGTGCCGTTCTGTTTGGCACCTGGTTCGTCAAACGACAGAGGGCAGAACGTTAAAACTCATGAACTCCAGTATCTCAGTCAGTTTGACTTGTCCTGTTATTGTCCTCATACTGACCCAGGTCAAAGTTGTTGGCGTTGAGCATGAATTCTGGCAGATAGAAAAACTCGGGGATGAGCTCCTTTACGTCAGCCATGTTGTGTTTGGAGGCGGAGAGCCAGGCTTCACGCACGCTGTGGAACATCCTGTCAGCCAGGTCAAAATGGCCTCCCTGGTAAACGCACAAACATTGAGTGTTCCATTGCATTTCAGAGCATCATAATACAATGAAAATAAAGGCTTACTACTCTATTCTACTCTATTCTACTCTAGTCCTCCATGTTTAACAACTGAGCAGCTGTGAAAACAGAATTTGCAGTTGTAGAAAGGATTTTGTGAATTTGAAGTCAGGTAGAAAAAAGCTTTAGTTGCATTTTTATTTTGGTCACAATACAAATTCTCCCTGCTCTAACTTAGGCATGAAATATCTCAGTCGAAGCTGAATAAAAGTGATTCATGTATCTGAGGAGCATGTTTTCAGCTTATTACAAATTCCATTCCACCCATTCCATTTCTTTCTGTAACCACGGTTCACCCGTGAAAACATTCAGATGATGAGCAGAACACTCATCAGCCAATGAAAGTTCAATTCAAACCTGAAGTCTGAGGAAAATCTGTGTGAAAGGCTCCATTCGGACCAGGTAGGAGGCCACGATCATGGCTGACGAGTAGTGCGTGCCGTAGTGGTAGGCCGGGGTTTCACCTGCAGCGACGGAAAACAAAACAAACAAACAAAGAGTGAAATTTCTCCAAAAAAACTAATAATATGAAATGAACACTTGGAATAGAAATAACAGCCTATTCATTGTCTCCAGGTGTTAACTCGTCTCTGGCCTCTTACCGTTGGGGTCTTCCCAGTCCTTGTACCTCTTCTTATACTGTGTCAGTCTGTCTTCCGTCTGGGCGCCCATGGGCTTGGCGAGGTTGCGGAACGTCTTGGGGTTGCTCAGGTCCAGCTCCTGGTTAACATTACCAAAAGTTAGACCGAATGGGAGTTCACGCAAAGTCTTGAAGTGTAGTCGCGCTGCAGCCACGAAACCAGTTATTGGTCGAGAGCGGAGAAAAAACAGCTTCACTCACCTCGGCGTCGTAGTCGGCCAGGATCCAGGGGAAGACAGGATACTGCATCAGGTCGTTGTAGGAGCGTCCTGCCAGCGTGTTCAGATGCATCAGGTACTGGAAGTTACTGATCTCTCCTCGCTGGAAAACAGATCACACACACACACACATCAGTGAGGTTTGTGTTTGGAGGAGCTGATATGACGAATCAGAAGTTTGGACTGATGAGTTCAGGTTCCTACCTCCCATCTTTGAGTCACAGACTTCTCGCCGACCAGTGTGCTGAGCAGACCAGATCTGAAAACAACAGGGAGGTGGTTGAGTTAAAACTTCTTCTTCGTGTGTTAAACGTGGGACTGTTTTCATTAACGTGATCGATTACTGTCGCATAAAAGTCCTATAGAAGATTTTTGGGGGCCAATACTGATGAAAGGGAGGAAAAAACTTCTGATACCGATAAATCAGCCAGTATATA